GGGATGCTCCTCTGGTGGGGCAGCTGAAGCTGCTCTTCCAGTGTGGGGCTGCCCGCTCCGCTCCCGTCAGCGACGCTGCCGCCCCGCGCCCGCACCCCTCGGGCCAGATGGTCCTGGGTCCGCTCTGGCCGTTGCTCTGAGCCTGCCCGTCCCTCTTTCTTACTTTGTACCTTTTCAGAGCGTTTTGGTTCCCGACGGGGCTGCGTTTCAGCAGCGCTACAGCCTGGGGGAATGTCAGCCTACGAAGGGGTCTGCAGCGCGTCCCGCTTCTTCCAAAACGCATGTGGGCTATGAGGCTTTCCTGGGATGCGTTGCTTGTCGTTAGCACAGGTCGGAACAGCTGTAGGTAGCAGGGAGAAGTTAATGCCAAATCATCCACTTTTAGGGGTTCACAGAGTTACCCCTCCAATGGCATACTGGATATTTTATTGCAATTTGGGTGGCGTAAAAGTTGCTGCTGGAGAAGTACATTGGAAGGGAAAGGATGAGCGGGTTTGCTTTTGGACGTGCCCCACTGCAGGCGGGTATGATGCTGTCGTCACTAACGAAGACATTTCCTGAGCTGGCGACTCAGGCAGGTACCAAGCTGAGTGAAGAGGGTTTGCCCTCGGGGAGAAGCTCCAGCAGTCACAGAGAGGAGGTGGTGTCCGTCTAGGGGAGGGTGAAGGCTTTCAGAGCAAGGCGGGAGGGCTGGGCTGGTCATAGTGGGTGGCCAAGGTGAACAGGTGAGGTGGATGGCCGAGGTGGACGACCGAGGTGAATGGCTGAGGTGGATGGCCAAGTTGGGTGGCCAACGTGGATGGCCATGGTGGATGGCAAAGTTGGATGGCTGAAGTGGATGGCCATGGTGGATGGCAAAGTTGGATGGCTGAGGTGGATGGCCGAGGTGGATGGCCGAGTTGGGTGGCTCAGTTGGATGGCCATGGTAGATGGCTGAGGTGGATGGTCAAGGTGGATGGCCAAGGTAGATGGCTGAGGAGGATGGCCAAGTTGGATGGCCGAGGTGGATGGCCGAGGTGGATGGCCAAGGGAGATGGCCCAGGGGGCAGGTCAACGGGAGGTGGGTGGCCGAGGTGGATGGCCGAGTTGGGTGGCTGAGTTGGATGGCCATGGTGAATGGCTGAGGTGGATGGCCAAGGTGGATGGCCGAGGTAGATGGCCATGGTGGATGGTCAAGGAGGATGGCCAAGGTGGATGGCCGAGGTAGATGGCCAAGGAGGATGGCTGAGGTGGATGGTCAAGGTGAATGGCTGTGGTGGATGGCCGCGGTGGATGGCCAAGGTGGATGGCCAAGGTGGATGGCCGCGGTGTGCTCGGCCACCGTTCAAGGGCTTCAGCATCTGAGCTGGAGTTGGGAGTGGAGGGTAGGTGGTGCCACTTGCAAAGAAGCACTTAAGAGCCGGTGACAGCAGCTCTGGCAGGCCTTGGCAGCCGAGGGGTGTTGGGCAGCTGATCCTAGGGGCACGGGGCAGCAGGAGTGTGGGGCTGAGCCCCCTGGCTCCCTGGCTGGGGAGCTCTGCTGGTCCCATCTCTGCAGTTTGGTGTCTGTACGTGGCTTAAGCCAGACAAGCAGTCGTGGTTTTGGGGAGAGTCGGAGCATGTCACGCCTGCCTCTGTGAAAGTAGTAAACAGTTGCATAGCCTGTTAGAGGCAAAATATCACCAAAGAGGGAGAGTCGAATCCATACAGTGAGGAATGAGGCATGCTTTCATGGAAAAATGTCAGCTGGAGATTAAGTGAGAAAAGATACAGATAGAGGACTTCTTGCCCTGCTGTCTGTCCTTTGAGCATTGACTGATTAAAACAAGACGGAGCGAATGGTTGGATTTCCCTAAGCAATGCTTCACCATCCCTCGGCAGATGGGTCCTGCTGGCGCTCCTGTGCCGGGAGAGGGGATCTGGTCCTGAAGCTTTGCTCTGGAAGGCACCGCGTCCGGATGAGATGGAGCTCTGCTCGGGCTGCCTGTAGCTTTTGCCTGTGTGTGGGTATTGTCTCATTTTGGGTGACCGGGACCGCACTCTGGACGTCCCTGGGGCCGTGGTGGTGTCTGTGGTAGCTTTGCAGCTCGGGTTGGGCATGCGCTTCTGCAGCGAAGTGCTCCGCTGTCCCTGCGTAACGTACCTTGGTTTTATCGTGGAGCAGCCTCAGAGCACATGGCCTGATTCGTTTGGGGTTTAACTGAGCCGAAAGACAAGCTCTGCCAAATGGTGGCTATGAGGTCTGTCACACCAAGCTAGAGGTGGTGGGAGAGCAAGATCCCCGAACCACGGGTAACGTGACTGTCGGGTCCTGAGCAGTGACCGCTTTGCTGTGGAACTCGGCTCTGGCTGTGCGGGTTGCTCATGTGGATGTAGCCCTGGGTAGACAGGAGGCCACCGGTGTAGATGGCTGGCCGTTGGGGCCATTTTTGCACCTTGCTGTCTTGAGGCTTAGGTTTACGACACGCTCTGCTCCTGTCTGGATCAGCCATCAGCTGGGAGAGCGCTTGCTCTGGATAGGCATCTTCTGGATCTCCCCAGTGGGTAACTCGGTCTTAACTCAGATAATTCCTTGGCTTTGCTGGCCATCAGTTGGTTTGCTTGTCCATCCTGATGTTAGCTTTGCAGAAATGCACACCTCAGCCTTTTCTTAGGCTTAGGTCACGTAGGAGACTGAAGTGAGACTGGCTGCAATGCTGGCGGTCGGAGTTCGTGCTGAGCCCGCCTGGCTGCGGCGCAGAAGGGTTCTGTTCCTTGGAACACGATCTTGAAATGTGCAGGAAGCGAAGAAAAACTCCATTCTTTCAGTCGCAGATCAGAGAGGTGAGAGGTGTGGAGTTACATCTGCAGCCTGGAAGGATGCGCCCCGCTTGGCGAGGGAGACCTCGGCGGGAGGCGGCTGTTGTGGGAGCTGCTCTGCCTGCCGCCGGGAGGCCAAGCGCGTGCCCTGGGGAGATTTAGGCAGCTCTTCGGGGAGAAACCTCTACATGTTGAAACGTCATCCTGGCCAGCATGGTCATTTCTATGGAGAGCTGCTCGTAAGGGTGGCTTGCAAATGGCATGGGAGTCCCCCTGACCATGTTGACCCCAATGGGTTTGGATTTCGTACAGGACACGGCACGGAGACCGTGGGGCAGCCCCCGGGGGGGACCGCCTGCTGCAAGAGGTTGCGCCTCGGTGAGGCGCGCCAGCGGTGTCGGCTGTGAGGTGGCCCTGCCGTGCTTGCGGGAAGGTCAGGGAGTTGAGCCTGGGCTCTCAGAGACATCCCAGAGGCGTCGCATCATCCCGCTGGATGCACAATTGCTATAGGGTTGGGCTAGCGCGGGCACAGGGGGCTTTGGGGGTGGCGTGCGAGGGCACCGCGAGCTGCGGGTCCCTGTTTGTGCCTGGGTGATCTACAGTGCTGGGGGCTGAGGGTGGAGCAAACCAGTGGTGGTGGTTTTTCTGTTGCTGGTGAACGTCCTGATGTGCGACTCGAGCCCAAAGCACCGGGTGCCCACTGTATCTGCAGTGTCCTCCAGCTGGTGTGTTGGCCTTGGTCAGAGGCTGGGCTGGGTTTCTTCTAACCAGGGAGGCGCTGGCGCGGGCCGGAGCGCGGGGCAGCGTTTGTGCGTCTTGGGCAGGACCTGCCTGCGCAGGACATCTCCGAGCAGCGCTGCCATGCGAAGCCGCCTTGGCCTGAGCGTCTTCCCTCTCCCAGGCTGGGCTTGCTGTCGTGTCTCGCCAGGCAATATGTTTTATTCCTCCGTGCTCTGTCCTGGTGGCCCATGGCCCCTGAGTGCGATGCACACTGCTGGCTTTATTGCCTGCAGGCTCCTGAGGTTTGGGACTTGCTTTTCCCGGGCTTGCCTTTTGCTTGGGCATTTCGTGCGGGCAGAGGAGCTCAAACCGGCGGCTCCCCGGGAGTGTGCATCAGCACGCCAGCATCGGCTGGTCCAGACTCAGCTGGGGGTCGGGAGCTGGGCACTGGGCTTTCAAGGGCCGGCTCTTCTCCTCTGTGCAGGTCCAGCAGAAGCAGGTCCAGCGGTCTTGCTTCCAGGTGCCCTGCAGAGGCTAGCTGGTCTGTCAGTGCTTCAGGGAGT